TTACTTATGTTGTTTCCATTTTGGCAACAAGTACAGGGGGGCCGTCCTTCAGTCACGTTCTGCCTGTGCTTTTCACTCTAGGACTTGTCCACCAATCCTATCCCCATTCCTCAGCACAGGTAGAGTCTCTCCTCTTCCCCCTTCTCAGCTCCGTTTCATGTGTTACCTTCCCCCATTAGGATATAAGCCATTTAAGGACAGAAACTATCTTTCTTTGTGCTTGGATGTGTAACTCCAGGGCTTAGCACAGTGCCTGGCACATAGTGGGAATAGTTGTTGCTTGTCTGCCTACCTGCCTGATTTCATTTGACATTCATGGGTTCATGTACAATCTTCTCCTATTCTACAATCGCTATGGAAATATTTGTTTTAGTGTTGAAGTCTAGAATAAAAATAATCCTTCACAAAAAAATGATTAGATACAATTTTAAAATTATTTTCTGATAGCTATCTGTTGAAACCCTAATTAGGATCACAGACTTCACACTGGAATGGACTTCAGAGGTCACTGAGTCCAAACTCCTACCCAATTTGTGAATCCCATTGATGATATCCCCAACAATTGGGCATCCAATTCTGTCTGAAAATCTCCAATGATATGAAACTTATGTCCCGCCTGCCAGAGTATGGCCTATTCTATATCTGGGCAACTCTAATTGTTAGTAAGTTCTTCTTTACCTTGAACCAAAATTTTCCTCTTTGTTAACATCCACCAAGTTGTCCTAGTTCTGAGTTGGTAAGCTGCATTTTCCTTAATTTCCCCCCAAGTTTTCCTGGTTACATGTAATTGGAGAAATTAGATGGGTAATAAAAGCAGACAGGTGACTCAGTGGATAGAGCACTGGGCCTGGAGTCAGGGAGACCTAAGTTCAAATTCAGCCTCAGACACTAATTAGCTGTGTGATCCTGGGCAAGTCACTTAACTTTCATTTGCTTCAATCCAACGAAAAAGGAAATAGCAAACCACTCCAGTATCCTTGCCAAGAAAACTCCATGGACGGTAGGGCCCATGAGGTCATGAAGGGTCTGGCACCACTGAACAAGAGCAACAATAAGACCTATATTCAACTGCCATCTCAGGGCCTACTTACAACCCAGTACATTCCCCCAACATCAGGGCACTGAGGACAGTGCAGCTGTTCTGGGAATTGTTCAGATTGGTGATACACAGCCCAGGCATGGCCAGCTAGGGCAAAGGCACTGATGCCAAGTGTCTCTTTGACATGAAGAAGCACTTCCTTTGGAGTTTCTTGGTTACCACTATCACTTCTACTCATAAGAAGAGTTAATAGAAAGAGCAAGGATATTCCCTCCAAATTTATGAGCACAATGAGACAGAGAGAGAGACAGACAGACAGACATAGAGGTAGTTGGACAGATAGATAGGGGAGAAAGAGAGGGTGGAGAGATGGATAGACAGATAGAGGTAATTGGACAGATAGATAGATGTGGACAGATAGAGAGATAGGTGGCTAGGTGGATAGAGAGATGGAGACAGACAGACAGATAGAGGTAGTTGGACAGATAGATGGGGGAGAGAACGGGGTAGATGGATAGATAGAGGTAGTTGGAAAGATAGATATAGATAGGTAGATAGATAAATAGAGGTTGTTGGACAGATATATGGGGAAAGAAAGAGATGATGATGACGATGATGATAGATAGATAGATAGATAGATAGATAGATAATTATAATGGTCTTAGCAACCCTTCCCTCTCTGAGGTCTAGCCATGCTGCTCCTCTGTTTAAAAGGTTTCCTTTGTTCACTGGTTATTGCCCATAAGATAAAGTATAAACTCCTCAGTTTGGCATGTAAGACCCTCAACAATTTCACGGTTTCCAGCCTTCCTTCACACCTCTTCTTTACACTCTCCATTTATCAGACAAAAGATCTATTCTCAAATCCTGTTCTGAATTTTTCTACCATGGTAGATTCATACATTTAGGCTAAGCTCCTTACTAGAAGACAGAGTTACCTAGATAGAAAACAAAAGGGTCCTTTACCCCAAGAGTTCCCTTCTCTCTGCATCCTCCATTCAGTTCAGTAAACACTTACTAATCACCTACTAGTTTCAAGAAACTGTTGAAATTCTTCAAGTCGTTCAAGGCCAAGTTCAGATGCTTCCAGTTCCAGGAAACCAAGTGATTTATTCTCCTTCTTTAAATTTTCTTATAGAATTTTATTAGACCTTTCCTCTTCTCTATCATGTTCTATTTTATAGCCAAAGAACTAATGAGAATGTTTCTCTAGTACATGCTTTATGTATAAGGCCTGCACTTGCATCATGTGTCTTTATTTACTCATACATCTGATATTTGCACCCTACCCTCACCTCTATTAGGTTGTAAGCCCCATTAGGGGCAAGCTCTGTGGAGTTTTTCATTTTTGTATCCTTAACATTAAGCACAAGCTTTCTGTATAATAGATCACTAGTAAATGTTTGTTGAATTATATTAAAAAGAGAAGTTTAGTTGGTCCCTAAATAAATGTGTTTAAGAGACAGTGTGGTTCAATGGAAAAAAAACAATGGTTTTGAAATCTGAGGACCTGGGTTCAAATTCCATTTCTACCACTTACTACCTAAGACATCTTGGGCAAGTCACTTGTTGGACCACTGTTTCCTAATCTGTAAAAGCAACAGATAGACTTTAATGTCCCTCCCAGCTCTAAATATATGTATAATCCCATGTATTTGATCCAGGTACAAACCTGAATCTGGCTAACTTTCCTCAAAAAGAGAATAGGAAAATGTTCAAAAGTGAAAAGGAAAGAGAAATAGAGTCAGAAGAAATCACTTCAGGTCACTAACTCTCAGTCAGAAAAGACTCAGAAGTCTTCTGGTCTACCCTAAAATTGTTTCTATGTCCCAGGGAAGTGGGCATCCATCCTCTTCTTGAAGACTTCCACCAATGGACAATTTGTTCCCTTACCCAAGAATGCATGATTATAGAAAGTGAAGCTGGGGTGGGGGGGGAGGGGTGGATGGTGCAAGAGTAGTGGAAAAATTTTTTACATGTCCTTTCTGAGGATTAGTTAATAATAGGTGGGCTATATGGCTCAGTGAATAAAATGCTAAGTCAGGAAGACCTGAGTTCAAATCTGGTCTCAGACGCTTACTAACTGTGTGACCCTGGGCAAGCCACTTAACCCAGTTTGCCTCAGTTTCCTCATCTATAAAGTGAACCAGAGAAGGAAATGGCAAACCACTCCAGCATCTTTGCCAAGAAAACCCCAAATGGGGTCACAGAGAGTTGGACATCACTGAACAACAACAACAAAACAAAGTTTTTAGGCAGCTAGGTGGCACAGTAGATAGAGCACCGGCCCTGAAGTCAGGAGGACCTGACTTCAAATCTGACCTCTGACCAAACACTGGACACTTATACTAGCTGTGTGACCCTGGGCAAGTCACTTAACCCCAAGTGCCTAAAAAAAATATTGTTCCTAATAATACTTAATATTGTTAATAACAGTAGCTAATATTGTTAACAATAGTATATAATATTGCTAATAATAGTTAATAATAATATTTGTTTAGCATTTTTATAATTTTAACAAAAAATTTTCGTGTCTTGGATCTTATTTGGGCCTTACAAGAACTCTGTGAAACATGTAGGGTTAACTAGCATGACTATCTCCATATTACAAATGTGGAAACAGATCCTGAGAAATATTTGACTTGCCCACCCAAGGCCCTGAAGTTGGTCAATGGCAAAATCAGGTTTAGACATTTATTGCCATTTCCAACTCTCTTTTACCTAAAGTGAATTCCTAATTAAGACAGAGAGGATGTGTGAAGCAACTACCTGGCATAATGTATCCAGTGAGAGCTGGACTTGGTAGCCAGAAAGACCTGAGTTCAAATCCAGCCTTGGGCACTTACTATGAGACTCAGGGCAAGACACTTAGTCTGTGACTGCCTCAGTTTCCTCAACTGTAAAAGGGTGATAATAATAGCACCTATCTCACAGAATTGCTGTGGGGATAAAATGAAATATTTGTAAATTGAAAACCTTATATAAATGTTAGCTATAATTACTAAATTACTAATTACTAAAAGGAGAAAGTTGGATTAGATGGTTTCCAAAATCCAGTTCCAGGCTAATGTTCCACGATTTTACCCTAGAGAGGAGAGACCAATCCTGCAGCTGACCATGGGATCATTTGGCTCCACACTGCCCTGAAACATTTCCTGTCTCAATATTTTGGCTGGGACCAAGCTAACATTTTAAAAAAAAGAAAAAAAGGCATGCCTCTCCTTCGGAAGTTGCCCCCTCCCCAAATCCTTCCTTTCCCTTTGCAGCTGTTCCCTTATCCCCTGGATGATGAATTAGACCAGGTCAGGGAGCTTTCAGCTTTGGGCCTTTGCAGACTCCCTCTCTGCAGGACAAGGGGGTGGAAAAGAGAGAGGGCGGGACCAAAGAGTCTCACCAATGATTTTCAATTATTATATTCTCTGATTTGGTTCTTTCTATCCCTGGCCACACACACCTCACACACACATACCCCAAAACCCCCAGTAGGAATAGCAGCTTTGCGTCTAACTGGTTAACCATAATTTTTGCAAAAAAAAAGGAAAGGTAGGAGAAATCAGAGAAAGGGGTCTGAGAAAAAAAATCGAAAAAGTGTGTATGTGGAGGGAGAAGGATGGAAAACTGAGCGAAGGGACGCGGAGCAGAAATGCCCAAGATTTGGTTAAGAAGAGGGTGGGGAATAGAAGAGAGAAGGAAAATGTGAGAAAGCTGGAGGTTGAATGCTGAAAGGAAGAAACTGAGGGAAAAAATATGGAAAGGTTCAGGAAAAAAGAAGGATAACAAAGTTAGGTGCGTTAGAGAGAAACTGACCAACTATTTAAGACACCAGGTTTTTTCCCCCCTTCAGTTTCCTTTCCAGGACTGATTTTTTTTTTTCTTTCCTCCTTTTTGCTCCTCCCCCTCTTCTCTGCCTCCTCCTCCTCCTCGCGGGGGGAATGGGAGGCTCCAATGCAGGAGTAGCGAAAGAAGGAATTGTTTGAGAGTTCAGTCATCCAAAAAACCTCCTTCCATATGGAGGGTCCGGGTGCCCTCATGGCAATGCCTCTTTCCTTCTCCTCCTCCTCCGTCTCCTCCTCCTCCTCCTCCTCCTCCTCCTCCCGCCGACACTGCCACCGCTTCTTCCTCCTCCTCCTTCCCTGAATACCAAACCCATCACCCGACACACTTCCACTTCAACGCAAACTCTCCCTTAATCACTTCCTATCCAACCATCCGGCCTGGAAATTCTCTACTTCAGATTGCCTTTGTTGCTGCTGCGATTTTCTCTCTTCATTTGGTGTAGCTGTGTGTGTGTGTGTGTGTGTGTGTGTGTGTGTGTGTGTGTGTTCGTGTATGTATTGCCATCCCAGAGCGCTGACCCTGGGTTCCAAGTTTGCACTTATCTACACCGGCTGCATTAGAGGTGAGTAAAGCAATCATAAAGAAGTTTGTTTGTTATTGTTGTTGTTGGTTTTTTAAGTCTCGTCTGGGTGTTTTTGTTTGTGGTTTGTTTTGCTTTGCCGGGGGTGAAGTGTAGGATGGCGAGTCGGGCTTTTTATTGGGGAGAGGGGGTTGTTGCATGGAGAGAGGAGGAATTGATTTCTGGAGATTGCGAACGATGTGAATTTCTGGTCTGGCCAGAGGCTGGGATCTGAGTTTTTGGAAGTTGCCTGCCGGGCCGCAGTCACAGATCTTTGTGTGCCTGGATGCTGGAGCCTTGAGCATCGAGGACCAGGCATATTGCAAAAAGTTTGTCCGAGGGAAAAAAAGTTTGTCCAAGGCCGCGCCGTGTCCTTGGCCCCGGAAGGCTGGGGTCTGCGTAAAGGCACCGAGATGGAGAGCAGGGACTGAGAAGCGTTCTTCCTACCGCAGTCTCCCGGGATCTCCCCCCTAGGTCTCCCCAGTGGTCACCCGGCAGCTCGTTGATTTCACTCTGCACTCCCAGGCCAGTTGCGCCAAACCAATGGAGGGCCTGGGACCGGCTCCTCCAACCCCTGCCGCTTGCTTTCCCCGCAACTTCCCTAAAGATTTACAGCATTTTTCGGCTTCCCGGCTCCAGGCCGCTGGATCCCACTTGCCCACAAAACTTTCCACTTTAGCCTCTCCCGGAGTGAGGGTGGATTAATGTCTAAATTGAAAGAAATTGTTTTAAAGAGAAAAGCAATGGAAAGGCAGTTCCAGGAGGATGAAGGGAAGAAGAAATAGTGGGAGAAATCCCCAGTACTAGAACGTGTGTGTTTGGGGCCAGGGTGGCAATGAAGAATGGGAGGTTTGGAGAGTGGGGAAAGGTTGGGGTGGAGTATGTGTGCGCGTTCTGCTTTCTGCTAGTTTTGCTTTTCTAGGCTCTTACTGGATTTTGTTTTGGTCATTGAAAGAAGATCATGGAAATGAACAAGTGGGAGAGGTGGAGAAGAGGGCAGTGGGGAGGAGTGAGCAAAGAAGGAAAACAGTTGCTATTTTGTTCGTGAAGAGCACTTATGGGTGCTTAACTTGTGGTCGTGCATATATCTTTCTAAGATGATGGAGGAATTTGAGGTGAGAGGAGAATAGTCAGTAAGGCTGAGACTGAATGTAAGGAAGGGTCATTTTTTTTAAAGTAACAGTAAGGAAAATAAGGATTCCTAAAGGATGCTGGCAATTTGATTAAGAATATTAAAATCACACAGCAAAACTTTCCAAAAAGCGACTTGTCATGTGTTCAAATTTGTTTTGTTCTTTGCACAAATCCCTAGTCCCATAAAGTGGCCCGAAATTACCTCTTTGAGCTAGGGAATGGATTTCCATTAAATTTATGTTGTTGATGAAATCTAATGTCTCCTTGTCCTTCCCAAGTTCTCTGTGTATGGTGGGGTCCACTTTATACCCCAAATCATTTGCCACCAGGGTAACTTTGCAAGCACTGGCTAATTAATTAATATAATTGTTAAAGTTCTTGCATGGTTTTGGGAGGAAGGGAACTCCCAGTCTAGAAGCTCCCTTCATTGGTCCAGTTCATCAACTCCTCTGAAACTTTGTTTTTGAGAGTTGCCTGGGCAACACCCACCATCCAGTTTATCTACATCACTAGTAGAACTTGAACTCAGGTCTTTCCTAATTCCAGCACTGGCCTTTTATACACTAGGCCAACCTGCCTCTCTCTACATGTCTTAACATTTCTGATTTACTTGGTGACTAGTCCCTTAACTGCTCTACAATTCTCTCATGGCCTTTTGATCTTTCCATTTACAGCCAATAAATCAGTCTTCATTTCCAGTGGGCAGAAATTCATCAGCAAAAAAAAAAAAAAAAACCAAAAAAAACACCAAACCCAAAACATAAAAATAATGTCTTTTCTGGCTGGAGGAGGGGAACATCTTTAGGGAAAGTGCTTTTTTTTCTTTCCAGTAGCTTATATTCTTCAAACTTATCTGGCTTCAAAGTGACTCAGAGTAGAGAAGTTTCCAGGAGTGTTTCTGAGGATTTGTAATTGGTTCTACATAAATGAAAGAAAAGAAGGTTCCCATACTAATAATGGAGCTTCTTGGGATTAGCAATGACTGTTGTGAGCTGTGAGTAGGAGTGGAGTTAAGGTCTCCCAATCTGTGAGTTTTAGAAGGGAGAATTTGCAAATAAATTACAATTTAAAAATGAGAGCTACTTCATTATATTCTTTCTTCCAACTATTTCAGTATCAAAAGTGAAATAGGCTGGAACTTCAAAGAGCCAGGGGTTGCCCTCATGACAACAAACAACGAAATGAAATGTGAGGTTTGACAACTTAAACCTCAAAAATCCCCGTCCCTCATTCTTAAAGAAAAAAAAAACTGAAAAAGAGCTTTATGCAGCAAGAAAAAAAAATGCACTAACATTTGTCCCAGGCTTTTCTATTAGGAACAGATACAGGTGGTCATTATAGGCAGAAATTAGACTTTTGGCAACAGATGCAAAAAAATATGGGAGTAGTTCTTCAGCTTCCCATTGAATGAATTAGCTTAGCCTGGCAATATGGGAGATCCCACTACCTAATAGAAATGGGTGGAAATAGCTTCCTTGTTTTGCCACTTTGAAGTGCTCTTTAAAGTGTTTTGGACCTCAACCTTTCAGCAACTTGTTTGTGGCCTGTGTAGCCCCCAAATTAATCAATAGGTGATTTTACTCATGAAATAATTCAGCTGACATCCCCACAAACACCACAGTGGTTTAAAAAGGAGGGCAAGAGGTGAGGCTGGTGGTCACAGATCCCATAGGATAGCGGGAAAGCAGAATTCAAATCCTGACCCAGCTACTGATTCTGGGCAAGAAAGTCACTGTGCCTCTCTTTGCCCCTTTATGCTGAAGCACTGGGATATGTTTGTCCTGAATAATTTTTGTGAAGTGCTTACCCAAGTTCAAAGTGGTATAATTGGATTTTGGAACTTAAATTATCTTCAAACCCCAGGACTCCACTGGAGTTGTAAACCTTAGTTCATTTAGTAATGTAACTGTCATCCTACTTGATTTGGGTGCATTAGGAAAAGGTTAAAATTGGAAAAAATCTTTGCACAGAAGGTGTCAACACCGAGTTCCCTATTTTCTTGCTTTCTTAGCCCAAAGATATTTTCTTTTAACCATCATTTCTGTGACTATAACCTGAGGACAGAAGAGACCCTAGTTGAGTCACTTCTGTCTCAAGTGAAAGTTTGTCTCACTGAGCTTCTTTGGGAGGCTGCTAATCCATGAAATATAGCAATGTACACCTGAGTTCTCACAACCCCAAAATATCCCAGTTATGATTCACAAGGAATAGCTCAATGTCGAGATGAAGTATAAACATTGTTTACTGTCCTGTTTCTTATGAGACTGAAAACTTACAAGGTAAATTGAACCTAATTTATAGTACTAAGCTTATTTTCTATTCCTGGGAGCAATTCAAATCCTAAAAATGATTTGAATGGGTATTTTTCAAATTTATGGCACCAGACTAAATGTTTAGCATAGTATACACACACATATACCCCAAATATGAAATCACGTTTATACACTGCTTTCATGATCAGGTGTTCAATCTTTGGAACCCACTTGTAGAGTAATGTCAGGCAAGAGATGATGGTGTTGAGCTCAGTTGGAGAAAAGTTGGAGTTGCCTCTTTTGAATGACCTGAGACACTAACCCAAGTGTTGAGAAACCTGGGTTTGAGACCTGGCTCCTTCTGTGAACTCCCATTTACCCTTGGTTAAGACCCCTGAACTGATAGTATTCCAGAATCTCTTCTGTAGAATGAAGATAATGCAACTTTGGCTCCTCCCTTTCCCTTGCCCCCCTCCATACCCAATCAGTCATCTTTTCCATTCTTTCTGGTCACATTCCTTATATCAGTCTCATCCTTTCCATTCCTACCATTATCACCTTAGTTTAGGTCCTCATTACCTGTTGTATGAACTACTGTAGTAGATCAATTCATCTTCTCATATGCCCCTCAGATCAGTCCTTCATCAAATTAGCCTTCCTAAAACTATTTTCATCATGTCACTCTCCTTCTTTGTTGATCTCACTAGAGGATATGAAGGGGCCATCTCCAGTCATCCTGATCTGTAACTTGCCATGGGACTCAGATGGCTCCGGAAGAGAAAGTGAGGCTGGTAACTTTGTACAACCTTTCCTCACTTACATCCAATTCACTTGTATGTCATATCATCACCTTCCTGATGTCATGGTCTTCTTCAACAACGAAGGACAAACAATAACAACTCCCATTCAAAACTTCTTGTGTCTCTCCATAGCTTATAAGGTAAATATCCAGACTCCTTTACCTGTTATTAAAGGCCTTCCATGACCTGGTCCCACTTTCTCTGGTCTCCAATTTCTCTTATATAAATCTTTTGCTTCAATAGGACTGAAGATATGAAGCCATCCTTCTTATTTCTGCTGCTACCAAGTATGTTCTTTTCCCCATTCTCTGTTTAAACATAACCTACCTAACCTTCAAGGACCAGCTCAGATCCCATCTCTATGGTGAGGTCTTCTATCATCTCCCCAGTCCTTAGAGATTCCTGGGTTCTTCCCAGAGCTCCACGAGCACAAATGGCTAATATTGCTCTTTTGTCACTTCTTAGATGCTATCTGGTCTTTTCAGTTAGAGTTTTATGGGACTAGTTTAGTCAGGTAATAGGGAGTATGGGAGATTCCATTCCTTCTGTGAAATGGGTGGGGATATCTTTCTTTATATTATTTTGAAAGGGCTTTTTCCATGTGTTTTGGACCTCACCCTTTCAGCAACATATCTGTGACTTGGGAAGCATAAAGATTAATCAGCAGGAGATTTTACTCATGAAATCACTCAGTCAACATTCACATAGACCCTTTAGTGGTTGAGAAAGGAGGGCAAACAATAATGTAAAAGGAAAACAGCATTAGAACTTTAATCAGTAGATGATCTCGACTGTGGAGGACCAATGGGGGAAACATGCCTTTCACTCTTGGCAAAGAGGTGATGAGCTCTGTGTGTGGATTGAGGAACATGTTGTCAGACTTTTTAAAAGGTGGGGAAGAATTGATTCTTCTGGTCATAGAATACCAATATTGAGATGAGATGAGTCTTATATTTTCTTGTAGTGCCCACAGTTCCCTGCCTTCCACATAGTGGGAGCTCACTCAACGAGTATTTGTTTGTTAGGGAATGGATGGATTACGGCGGCTGCGGAAGAGACTGTCTCTGAAGAGAATTGCCTTCTGGTAAAGGGTTGGGGAAAGGGTGAGAACTCAGCTCCAAGCATTTGATTTGCTATTATGGGCTGCTCATTTAAATGCCAGCAATAGTGTTCTTAACTAGCTTTAAAAGTGGATGTGTGCCCTTAATAAATTTTTAAATGGTATTTTATTTTTTCCAATTACATGTAAAGAATAAGATTTTGAATTCCAGATTTTTCTTCCTCCCTTCCTTCTCCCTAAGACAGTAAACACTTAATCAAATATTAATTTCAGTTCCCCCCTCACACTTGCAAAGCAATGAGCCAAGAAACTGGAAACTCAAGGGCTCAGCAAGACCTTGGAGAAGTTTTGTTTTGGTTTTTTTCTCCTGTTTTGTCATTTATATAAAATGAGGTTGTGGAAGATAACTCCGATTGAAGTTCATGGCCGAGTATCTTAAAAAAAAACAAATGTCAGCCAAGTGTTTGATTGTTGCATTGTATGGATAGAAGATGAGAGAACTTTCTCTTTCCTAAATTCCAGAACAAACTTCCTGGAATCTGTGACCTTGACATTTTCCCATCATTCATACTGACAGTGAATAGACATAAAAAGAGGGGAGTAAGAGACAGCAGGTGAGTTGGTTTTTTTTGTTTGTTTGTTTTGTTTCATTTTATTTTGTTTTGTTTTGTTTTTGCTGTTGTTTGTTTTGTAATATTTATAGCTAAATATCCTTGGACACATGTATGTTACACGTTACAATGTGCCTTTCAAATGTGTAAGTATCATTTTCCTAAGTCTCCTGTTTTTCTTTTAAAAGAAAAGCAACTGTGGAAAAATGGCAGCCATGAAAAAAGGTTTTTAATAGTAGGATTGGAAGAGTCAGGTTTTTGAGATTCCGTCCATAGTTCAGACAGCTTCCAGTTTAGTGCCTCTGATCTCTGCTGTCAAAGCTCCAGAGATGCAGGTATGGCCTTTCTCTGGCTGCATGGTAATACCAGTGCTCAATATGCTGCCTTGGTGGGCCTTCAGTGACAGGAACCAGGTGCTCTTGCCTGGTGTTGCTGAGAGCACCAGTGACACAGATTTATGTCTCAAGTCAGTGGTATTATATAGAGTGCCTTGTGGTATGACATACTATGCTGTGTTTTTCTTGAAAACGCAGAGTAACTCCGGCTTCTTCCCATCTTCTGAAATGTAGTTTGGGAAATCATTTGTCTTTTCCTGATGGCAAATTTGGCTTTATCTTCAAAGGAAGCCTTTGATGTTTGGAATAGAGTTGGCTGGGGAGGGGGGTGGATAAGAGAGATATCATAGCAGAAACTCCAAATTCACTAGCAGAAAGTCCACACAACTGAGATGTCAGAGAAAATGTTGAAGAGAACCTCCACATTCCTAGGAGTCAGCAAAAAGAAGCTGTAAGTTCTGGGCAGGGGAAGATGAGTCTGGTTTGCATCAAGTGTATTGCCAAATGCCCTTGCTAGGGAGGTAACCAGAGAGTAATATTTTAGAGAAATGTCCTTTTCCCAGAATCCTTTGGCAACACTGAACAAGGCAGAGTAAGGATGAGGTGAGCATGTAGTTCCCAGTGCATTTGGGAAACTTCAGTTGTCAGACAGGAATGAACAGAAAATTTACTATCTCCAGCACTGAAGTAGGGACTAGGAGGGCTACCAAAGGAACAGGATGACAGATCTTGCTTGCCCTCAAGGTGATTTCATTTTATTTGGAGAGAAAAGACAAAAAATACATGAAATAATTCCTCAGATACTTCAGTATACTCATGATGTCTTTTATGCCATGCCTCACATGTAAGCCATCATCAGTAATATATTTACAGCCTACTTATATGCATCTTGCATCTTTCCATTGACTTTTAACCATGGAACCAACTCAAAAATTTAAATACATGAGACTAGTACAAAATACTAAAGGAACCAAAAAGAAAAAACATGATCTTTGTGGAAGTGAAGTTCAAAGAAAGTAGCAAAACTTGTCAAGATTTGAATGTTCCTTTATGTCTGAGTTTATAAATATTAAGCCCTACTCTCTGAAAAACTCATTCTTCTTTAGTCGGTGACTCACCTCTAGGTCCCAAATTCAAGGCAACTTTGAGCTTTTGTCAGAAATTGGAACGTCCTACATTCAATGAGGTTTTAGGGATTTGCATTTTGGTTAAATTCTTAAAGTCAAGAATGAGGATGACACCAACCTTTTGAACCTAGATGACTGGAAGAAGTTCACGGCAGAGTAGTAATGAGGAGGAGGAGATGTGCCTCTTAGTAATTTTTGCAACTTAGAAGTCTTGATAGTGAGGTTTTGACCTTGAAAAATGTTAAATATACTAAAAAGAAAAAGTCAAGGGAACTCTTTTTGAATCCTGTCTCTGCCACTTGACAAGTCACCTCATCTCTCTGGGCCTCAGTTTCTTAATCTATAAAATGAGGGGGTTAAACTAGATGACTTCTGAAGTCCTTTCCAATTTTAAATTCTGTGATTAAAAAAATTTGCTTACAATTAGTCATCTCATCACCTTTAGTAGATGAAGAAAAAACACTTTTCAAATATTATTGTCTCATCTTCCAGATTATATCTGTAAAGCCATGGAAATGAAGGTGTTGGACGTTCCTCTAGTGCCTCTATACTAAGCAGCACTTCAGTTTAAATTTAGAGATTCTGCTGATAATCTTTCATTTTAGATTCCTAGTTCTGTGTATATTGCTCCAAGGTATTGTTATCTATAAGGTCAGCTTAGCTCTGAGACCCACAATCCTGTGCCCTTTATATAATCTGAGCTCGTAATATCCCTTTTCTATATTACAATATACAAATACACAATATACAAATACCCTTTTCACAGAGAGAAGTGGACTATAAAATGACAGCTATTGGTTTAAGCCTACCTAGTGTTCAATTGACCACTCTAATCAAAGACACTAGATCTAAATTGGGGATATGTAGTTGTGATCCCAGGACTGCTGCCTGAGATGATGGGATACCTGGGGTGCTGAATGTCCCAAGTGACAATTTAGGGAGTACCCGCACGTCTTAGTTTCTGTCTTTTAAATTTGCTGTTTGTTCTGCCTTTGTGTGAAAAGCCTAATCTTGGTGGAACATCAGATATTTTCACTTCTCTGTTGGAATACCAGACCCAGATCAACCTCTGTTGTGCTCCCTCAATCTTATCTGGCTTTTTCTTTTTTTTTTAACTTAAAAATTTTTATTTATGCGTTAAAAAACCCATTGCTGCTATTTACCAATACCCAGTGCCCAATCGAATCTTTCCTCATAACAAAATAGAGTTAAGCAAAAAAAAAACAAACCTCAAAACTTAATATATTGACAGTCTCTGACCATGTATACCTCATTACATACCTGTAATCTACCACCACTTAATTGAGTGAAGAGACCTACTTGTCTTTTTACCCAAATAAAGTTTCTGTACTAATCTGAATTTATATATTTTTTTATAATTTAAGCAGGTTTTTTAAAGGTGGTTCATAGCTAATTAGGAGTGGGGTTTGGTTTATTCATTTTCTTTTAAATCAGGAGCTTTTCTTAATTGTTTCACAAATCTCTCTCTTTCATTCTCTCTCTCTCTCTCTCTCTCTCTTTCTCTCTCTCTCTTTCTCTCTCTCTCTCCCCCTCCCCTCTACCCTGTCCCTTTCTCTAACTGCTAATACTATATAAAATGAACCATCCTCATAAGACAGGATTCTTTGTTACACAATAGTTCAATTTAATGTTTCACACACACATACACACACACATATACCACTTTTTTTTAAACCAGTGTTATAGCATAAGTAATGGACATCCTATTTTCATATGAATGAATGTTTTGTAGGCAGGGTATTACATAAGAATTTGTTCTAAAATCACAGAACAGAGTTAGAGTTGTATTAACCTTAAGCCCAAACTTCATCAGTTGTAGCCATACTTAAAATGATCAACATTAACCACTGGTGCTTTAATTCCTTTAAGAGTTTGGTGTTTTCATCCCAAAAGACAGAAAATGTAAGGGGACCAGGTAAAATCCTCCACAGTCCAGTTCCTTTATTGCATAGAATTCTGTTGTAGTGATAGAGGCCCTGAAGTTCGGTCTGGCCTCAGCCTCTGTGACGGTGGCATTCTGCCAGGAAGTTTCCCTGGGTGGTCTTTGACAAAGGGAAAAGGAGCCATGGGGGCATTAAGTGCTCCCATAAGGGAGAAAAGGGTGTAGTCTCATATCTCTAAATAAGGTGACTTTCTCCAGTTGGAACTCTTGGGTGTTTTTTTTCCTTCAGTTTCTTCTGGATGTCAGTCTCCTCACTTTGAAACTCTAGGGCTGCTACACCATGGTCTTGTATACAAGTGAAAATAGCTGAACAGGTTTCTTGAAAGAGGTGTTGTGATGTGGGGTTTATTTTTGTTCTTCGTTTTCGTGAACTTTTCCATGAAGAGCCAATTTCTGTGATAATATTTTGTATATATGTGGTGCCTTCCTTCTAAGAGGGCGAAAGCAGGTTAGCAGCAGGCACCCTTCATCCTCACATCATTCATGAAGTGAGGACTTATTATTCTCTATTGACAAGAAGGGAAGCCCACAGAGTGGTTAAGTGGTTTGCCCAATTCATACGGTGAATCAGTGGCAAAGCCGGGAGAGTAGCCCCTCTAATCAGAGCCTGAGCAGTGGAGGTGGGTGGTGTTCAGCTCAATAAAGTCATTTACTAGTCAGTAGAAGAGGCAGCTTGCAAGAAAAATTACCTTAGGGAAGGAAGGAGCAGCTGTGACAGGCAGGTTTGCATGACAAGAGTTAGGACTTTCTGTAGAAACATTCCAAGGGCAGCAGGAAGAGAAGGAGGGAAGAAAAGAAAGAAAAAGAAAGGAAGGAAGGAAGGAAGGAAGGAAGGAAGAGAGAGAGAAGGAGAAAGAGAAAGAAAGGAAAGGAAGGAATAAAAGAAGGAAAGAGAGAAAGATAAAGGAGGGAGGAAGGAAGGAGAGAGGGAAAGAGAGAGGAAAGAAAGAGAAAGAAAGAAAAGAAAAGGAGAAAGGGAAGGAGTATCATTATAGAGAGGGAGCTTTGGATCCAGGAAGACTGGGTTCAGATCCTGCTTCTGACACTTACTGGCTGTGTGATCCTGGGCAAGTCATTTGACCTTTTCAGTGCCCTAGACAATTCTTTGGGGGGGGGGGCAATCGGGGTTAAGTGACTTGCCCAGGGTCACACAACTAGTGAATGTTATATGTTTGAGGCCGAATTTGAACTCAGGTCCTCCTGACTGCACAGCCAATGCTCTATCCACTGCACCACCTAGCTGCCCCCACCCTAGACAATTCTTAAGACTCCTAAATTGTAGAAAAATTGATGACCCTCATTGATAAGGATGGTTTCCTCATCTGGGAATTCCCTTTACTAATTAAACTGCAGGTCCAGTTCCCACCCACTACTGGACCACCATAACTCTTCTGGTTGGTCTAGACATTAAAGTCTCCTGTCCATTAAAGCTATTTCTTTTGCAGTTCACATAGTGTAAAAGGATTTTTGTCAGATTTGGGAGGGTTGGGAGTGGGATGGGGAGGGACACCAGAATTTAAACCTAGAACATGGATTGGGATATTTTTTTAATGGGCTGTCCCATCATTTATCATGTGT